CTGTTATTGTAAAAATCTCTCCGCTCACAGTAAAACAGAAGCACTGGATGAATTCGTAAAATAAGATCGGTAAACGTGAATGCAGCACCTCAAAACCGGTCTGCCAAAGCAGCCATTGAGGATGGAACTGCTTGTTGCATAGTTCTTTGAGAATATCGAGTGTGCAACCGTCCGGAAGATGTTCCACTTGCAATAAACGCTCCACGCATGCGGTTATATGATCGTCAACGAGCATACGTGTCATTAGACGCGACCAAAAGCCGGATGGTATATATGCCATCATGTAAACACGACGAACCAGTTCCTATAAAAGGTTTGAATCCAAATTTTCTACTTTTTTTTAGCACAGAAAGGAAAATTCCTGGGAAAAAAATCAGCAGTTCAATAAAAGACCTAAAGAAGTGCAGCAGCAAAATTGCCCTTATCCCAAAACAACATGCTCTTCCAATATGATCGCATCACTACTTCAACACAACAGCACTTTTGCCCATTCTAGCAACTAGAAACTTTCATTTTTCTCGACTTTGAAGTTGTTATATCTGTGTAATCCAAACGGGCAGTCAAGCAGATTCTTGTAATCAGTTGGCGAACTTCCCAATGTTCGCCTGCTTGTGTAAAAACTTTCTTGTTTCATGTACACAGTAAACTGAAGCTAAATATTCAACGTTTCAGCTTCTGCCTCAGCTCACTGTAAAAAGCACATTAAAATGCCTGCTCACCTGCTCCACAAACTGCACATTAACAGTAATTTTTTGTTCCACTGCTTCTGGAATTCCCAAACCATTGCCATGCCGTGAACGATCCACTGAGACTGCTGCCGATGGCTTTTTACGTACATTTGTACCGGCTATTTGAGGTATTGTTGCTGGATGTCGTATATCACCTAAGCTACGTTGACAGAAAAAAGACTGCAGGTGAAGATGTGGTGCCCTCTTTCTTGTTTGCTTGGGAGTGTTCGTGGTGTCGCGTTCCATCATTTCCAGCTGCCAGGATGCTGCTCTCGTTGGCACCTGAAACACTTCATTTTTATGCGTTTTGTGCTGTGTAACACCAGTACAAACCGCATATTGTCACGGAGTTGTCTGTGTGAGTGTGTGTGTGTGTGTGTGTGTGTGTGCCCGCAGCAACTTGTCCGCAACTTTCAACTCGGGAACCACAAAAGCTAGAAAGCTGAAAATTTAGGGGGACGTTCCCCACCCATGTGTGACCCCGCAAATTTAAATTCAGCTTCCCCGTACCCGCGGGTAAGACGTTCCCCACTCACGTGTGACCCTTCAAATTTAAATTCAGCTTCCCGGTACCCACGGGTAACACGACCCACGTGTGACTCCGCAAATTTAAATTCATCTTCCCCGTACCCGCGGGTAACGCGTACGGCCCTGTGAAAGTTTTTTACCCATGTGTGACTCCGCAAATTTAAATTCAACTTCCAGGTAATGCGTACGATTAATGCGTACCCGCAGGTAATGCGTACAGCCCCGTGAAAGTTTTTTACGGGCAAGTTAATATCTCGGAAACTACGGAGTCTAGGAGGCTGAAATTTTAAGGTAATGACCCTCTTCCCACGTTCAACCTTGCCCATTCAAATTCAGCCTTCCCTTACCCGCGGGTAACACGTACGGCCCCGTGAAGGTTATTCACGGGTGAGTTAATATCTCGGGAACCACAGAGTCTAGGGGTCTGAAATTTTAGGGGAATGACCCCCTGCCCCCGCTCAACCTTGCCCATTCAAATTCAGCGTTCTCGCGCTCTCGGGTACCACCTACGGCCTCGTGAAAATTTCGGCAGGGCCTATTCAAATTCAGCGTTCTCGCGCTCTCGGGTACCACCTACGGCCTCGTGAAAATTTTGGCGGGTAAACTATTAACTCGGGAATCACGGAAAGATATTCATCCTTCAAGGTTTTGAATTCAGCTTTCATGCACTGGTGCGTGAAATTTTTTACTGTTTTCCAACGTCTGAACTATTTCTGCATAGACTAAAGTACAAAGCAGTAAAAATCATTATCAGGCAATCGTTCGATGGGCTGAACTGCACAAAACGCATGATCGCACCGGCTAGTCTGGTGCGCGCTGCCATTTATTTCATCTTATTTTTTCAATTTCAAGAAATTTCTTTTACATAACTCTTGTGTATTCCAGTAAAGTAAATACGATAAATAACGGTGTAATGGTGGAATTGAAACTCATGAACTGATGAAAAATAGCCAAACAGTAAATAAGAAACTCCGCTGGATTTCTTGTACTTATTTAAATAAAATATTTTTGCGGCAATTTAAACCCAAGGGTATTTGCTGAAATTCATAAATAAAACAGCACAAACGAACCATTACGCGCGAGCCTGGATATCCACCCCTTAACTGATATTCATCGGGCAACAACG